TGTGTGTGTGTGTGTGTGTGTGTTATCACCTGGGGTCATGAGAAATGGCATTTTGCTCCCAAACACCCTGTATGTGGAAATGACAACAAACAGCCGTGATCCTGATCCAGATCCTGATCCAGATCCTGATCCAGTGTGATGGCCGACGGTTTGCAGACAGCTGATCCTGTTCAGCAGCGCTGCCAGGTTTACTAAACAGACCCAGATGTATTTGTGCCAGTCTGACTGTGTGCCACAGGAGCAGACTACTCACAGATATGAAGATGTTGAGAAGGTTTTCCAGTGTTGGCAGCTGTGGGATGAGCTTCTGGACCACTTTGCTGAAAGCCTCAAATATGGAGTGGTCGTATATGCTGGTCAAATAAAAGCTGTGAAGGTCAGGAGAAGAACGGACATCAGAATAAACTGTACTCACAAGTTATATCTGACATTTTGATGAGACTTTTCAGATATGAACAAATACCAAGACAACTGTCACGAATCAGAACATTAGCGTTTTAAGGTCTAAGGACAAATACCTGAATACATCTACATACTGTTCCTATAGATGTTTGAGGGAGAAGGACATTTGGTTATACAGCCGTGACCCTTATTAATCCTAAACCTGCTGTCCGACAGGATTTTAGGAAAAGTGAACAGAACCCATAAAAACAGCCTGAACGTACCGACAGCCTTGGATTCTGACCTGACATGACATTTAATGTCACCAATCAGGATAATAACAATAAAATAAAGACTTCATTAAAAGTGCAAAAGAGCATTTGTTGGAATGAGTCTCAATAACACAGTCACTGACAGATTATATGTTTCAGTCTAAATATATAATCAGTGTGTATTTAATTCAGACAAATGGCCAAAAACCTTCCCAAAGCCCACCTGAGGTGGATTCTTTCCAGGCCCGTGTCTGCCAGGTCATCGTTGGCTCGTTTGTGGATGTCCCTCTGCTTCTCGATCTTGTGGTCGTCCGACAAGCCGTCCACTTTGTGGATGAACACCTCGAAGTGGATGTCTGGGTTGACCTTGTAGGCCCTGGTCACGGTGAGATGCAGTCTGCTCAGAGCCTCCACGTAGTCGTCCTGGCAGGAGGACAAACAGCCGCAACGCTCTCATCCTCTCTCTAGCTTCTCTACAAAGTCTGCTCATGAAAGAAGTCAGCAGAGAGAACTTTGTGGAGGAACACAACACAAACTAATGGATGCTGCTTTGATACCAACTGCTGCAGAAGATTATGGTTCTACTGGTTCTGATCAGTGCCCGTTTGAGACCAGCTCTCTGAACCCACATCTACGCCTCTGATAGCTACAGCCTCTGACTGGACTGAAGGTGAGCAGCCATGTAGGAAATAGTTTATTCAGGAATGATGACTCCTATATTGTTTGCTGTGGATGCTTACAGACGGTTTTTCTGACCTGTGAGTCGATGACAAAGATCAGAGCTCCGGTGCCTCTGAAGATCATCTCGTAGTCAAAGGTGGGGTCGAAGAAGTCGATCTGGCCCGGGAAGTCCCAGATCTGGAAGCTGACAAAGGAGCTGCTGGAGACGTCCTCCCTGCAGATCTTATTGGTGCTCTCCAGAAACAGAGTCTCATTGGGCGACATTTTATGGAAAACCACTTTCTGGATGGAGGACTTCCCGCTCCTCCTCAGACCCATTAACAAGATACGAGGTTTGACGTCTCCGTTTAGAGAATCACTGAAGCCCAAAACTACACAAGAACAAAGAGACAGAGGCACAGTGAACTGGATCAGTCCAACACCTGAGAACGGTCACGTTTTAGGTTCTTCTCTGAGGAGGTGGGTGATGTCGCCTCACAACGTCATCGTGACATTCTAGAACAATGTTGTGATCA